GATGTGCCGGTGCCCCGCCCTCTGCCGGGCCGCGCCCCTCCGTCTCATCACTTCCGGGACGCTCTAGGCACCTCGGAGGACCCGCGTCTCTGTGGCTCCGCAGGAGGCAGTGGGCTTGCAGATGGAAGGAAGCCGGGCGTCCAGGGAGACCTCCATGGTGCGCCTCGACTTGTCCGTCTGTAGCATGGGCGCGGGGTGACTGCGCCTTGGGTTTCGTGATGAGCGGGACCCTCGCAGTCCTGGGCCAGGGTCTGCCCCAGACGGACAGGGCTCGGTGCCGCCCCTCCAGCTCCCACCCCCCACCCCCAGACCAGGGCGGCCTTTGATGGGCAGTCTCTGAGCCCCTGCCCTTAGCCACATCCAGTGCCCACGCTGTGTCCTTCCCACCCAGCCTCTTGCTTCGCCTGAGCCTCATCCGTACCCGATGTTGATTTCTATGATGAGATCTGAGGCTTCTGAGCGAGCGAGCGGGCAGGACTTGGATGCGATTTGGACCTGAGTTGGTGCTGTCGTGAGCTGGGACTTTGGGCGGCCTTGGGAGGGGTGGCTAATTTGCATTTGGAACCAATGCCCCCCAGCCCGCTGTCCACATCCTGATCCCCAGAACCTGTGAACAGTCCCCTCACATGGCAAACATGGCAACCCAGGTGCGATTCCGTTCGGCTCTGGAGATGGGGACGTTGCCCTGACATCAGGGAGGGCCCTGGTCGTCACAGGGTCCCTGTGGGAGGACGACAGTGTGACAAGGAAGCCAGGGGAGAAGGGAGACATGACGACAGACTCAGGCTGCAGTACGTGCTTGGTCGGGGAGGGAAGGGGCCACGGGCCGAGGAGTGCAGATGCCCCACCTGGAAAAGGGAGGGAACGATTCTCCCGGGGAGCCTCCCTCCGGGAGGAGCACGCCCTGCGACTCCTTGGTTTTAGCTCCGAAGACTCCTTTCGGAGGTGGGACCTCCGGAACGTGAGTTACTAAGCGTCTGTTGCTTACCCCACGCGCTCACAGTCCTTCGTCCCCGGGACCTGACACAGGCTTTGGCACCGTCCTCCGCCTCATCTCCTCCCTCGGCTCCCAGGACCCGCCCCGCCCCACCCCCTGGTGCTCCTGCCTCCTGTCTCCTGCGGATTCCTGACTGGCCAGGCCCACCCTGGACTGTCCACACCCACCCCCTGGGCGACCGCCCCATTCTTAGGGCTTCACACACCCGCGGAGGCTGACAGCCCCCCTTTCCGTTCACTCGGGCAAAAACAGTCACTCTTGACGCTCGTGCACTTTGCACCCACACCCGGTAGACAGGAGCCGGGCTGGGCCCTGCCCTCCGCAGCCGGGCGATGGCTGCCCTGATCTCTCTCCTGCCGCCTGCTCCGGGCCCAGACCAAGCCCCGCAGTCTCACTGATTTCTGCTTCTGCCCCGAGCGCCGGTAGCAGCCATGACGTCCGCGTGCCAGCGCACCCCAAAACTTAGTGGCCTGGGACGGCAGCCGCCTGGTTGCTCCCAGCTCCGGCTCCGCGTGCCGGGACTGAGCCCGCTGCAGTGAGGCGTGCTGGGCAGAGGAAACTGGGGCGCCCCAAGGGACTGGGACCCTGGACTCTCCCTTGGCGGGTCTCCCGGGACAGCGAGCGGGGTTGGCCCCGGGAAGGCCGGCTCTGTCCCTGTGTGACGGTCTGCTGGCACCTCGTGAACATGGAACCACATGCACCCATCGCCAAGACGCACGGGGCTCCCCCAGGGTCCCCCACCATCCCTCTGGGACCTCTGGCCTCGCCTCGAGGACTGAGTCTGCTCTGCCAGAGAGGGAGGACGGGGACAAACACCCACTGGTGTCCTCAGTCATTGGGGGC